TTTTTAAAAATACTTTTCATATATTTTGTAATAAAAACACATTTCAACATGCAGTGTGTGTATGTATGTATATATATATATATATATATATATATATATATATTTATTTATTGAAATATATTTTGAAATATATTGAATATAACCAATATACTTGGGAAGAATATTTTTTAAATATATTTCAAAATATATTTTTCTTCCACATGGGCTGTTTTGTGAGGGCATCACAATGAACATTATTGTCAGCTATACTGACCACTTTATCTTGAAATAAGTTTGGCTAGTGTGTGCACACATCAGGGTTGTAGTATGCTTTACCTATCCCCATATGCCAGCTACTGTGGAGGAAGTGCAGATTATTTGTTTAAACCTACCTGGTTCATGACAGCTCATTGTTGTGAATGAACTCTGTATTTTTTTTTAGCCTGTTTTCCTTTTTATCACTTTATTTAATATTAATAAAAGTCTCAGTACACTATTTAGTGCAATTTGCTTCTTGGTTGGTTGTTAGAGTTTTCAATACTTCCCTGACGCAGTATGTGTTGAGTTGCAAGGATTAAGTGACTTTTTTAAGACATTTCTGAACCCGTATTCTGTGAACTTTATCCTGCAATATCTGATGGCTGTGTTTAGTTTTTCTCTTTTGGAGAAGTCCGTTGATTTTTTAGGTCAATTTCCAGTGAAAGCTGGGCAAAGGCATTTATATAGATGTATATGTGAGCTGGCTGATGCTTAGGGCTCTTGCTCCCTCTTTGTTCTATGAGAACCTGCTGTTGGGCAAGAGAAGGAAGACTGCTTACAGAATACTAAAAATTCATAAAAGCTGTCTATTTGTTCTGGGGAGCCCATTAGGGAGTATCCTGTTAGTCAGATAATGATGTGAGTTTAGTTAGTAGCTCGAATGAGCAGATGTTTTGTTTGTTTTATGCTATGCACTGGCTGTACAAAGCCCTCCTGCATTCAAACTCTTTGATTGCTGCCTTGCTGAAAAGATGCACAGAACAAACCTATTAGGATTCTTTCTGGGTGTCCCTGTTTTGTGCATGGTTTACAGCTGCCAGTACCCATCCCCCTGCCCTTAAACACTGTATTTTTAATATATATGTATATATTTTATACGGTATATTGTATATGTGTTCATATTCAAAAACATATAAAACTTGTTAATACCAATATCTATCAAGAAATACGAATTGTAACCAAAAATGTGCTAGCTGTCAGTAGGCCAAACATCAGCAGATGTCAGATAAAGACAGCAAGAAAAGCAAGAAAAAAACATAAATGGAGCAAAATAACACTGACCTCAGCTAAAAACAGTCATTGACATAGCAAGATATTGGCAATCTCAATGTCATTCTTAGCCTGGGTACATTATTTTTAACTTTCCCCTATGCTCCTTTATACATCAAAATTATAATCATGAAAACATGTAACCATGAATTGAAAGAAATACTTGTAATGAAGAGAAAAAAGAATAAGATAGTGACTTTTTTTTTTTAATTTCAATAATCAATAATCATTTTATCTCATTAATCAGAATCCTTCTCCCTCCACTGAACCAAAAGTACCTTCCCCACCCCTATCCCCATCCTACAAAAAATGCCTGCACAAACAAAAATCCTCAATTTTTCTACCTAATCCCCAATTAGCAAAACAAAAACCACAACCTCACTCCCATTCCGAAAAAATTGCCTCTTCCCTAGCAAAACCCCCCAACCAGCAAAACTCTCCTTCCTCAGAAAAACCTTCACCAGCAAAAATCTCCTCTCCACAGAAAACCTGCTCAGCAACCGCCTTTTCCATCAGCAACCCTCACAAAAGAAAAAAAAAAAAAAACCTCACTAGCAAAACCCCCTAAACTTTCCTTGGCTCTGCCTCGCTGCTGTATCTGAGATCCCACAGGACTGCTGAGGGTGGTCTTGTAGAGCTATGGGAAATGCAGCAATGTGCACCTGGCTGGGGATGCAGTCCTAGAGCAGGGACTAATGTTAGGTATGCCACTAAAAAGTCCTGTATGGTACAAATGAGTTACTTCTCACCAGGGGCGGACTGACCATTTGGAAACTCGGGCACTGCTCGAGGGCCTGGGTCAGTAGGGGGCCCCATGAGATGCCCCTGGTACCTTTTTCATAGGCTTTTTTGAGTTTGGGCAAGGACACAGGGGCCCCATGATCCCCTATTGCCCGGGGGCCCCATGAGTTGTCAGTCCACCCCTGCTTCTCACCCAAGTTGAGTTGAACATCATATAACATGGCAACAATCATTATATACAAAGCCAGTGCCTTCATGCCTCCTTTTATGTTCTTAGTAATGCATCTCTGAGGTGTAGAATGGATGAAAACCCAGAATCTGGAAATTAGGTGGCATAGTAATATAATTTCAATATCACTCTGTGGTACCCCATATATATTTTTTTAATATATTCTTCATATTTTTTTTAACATATAAAAAAGTAATTTTAACGTATATATTTACATATATTTGTAAATGCATTCCAAAAATGTAGATTTGTATTTTTAAAGACATACAGTATATTTGAAATATATTTTTTAAAAATGTTTCTCATATATTTTGTAATAAAACACATTTCAACATGCAGTATGTATATTGAAATATATTTTGAAATATTTTGAATATGGCCAAAATTGTAGTATTTCAAATATATGGCAATATATTTGAGAAGAATATTTTTTAAATATATTTCAGATATATTTTTCTTCCATGTGGGACTCCCTACCTTTTAGCATTTCTGCTGAAACTGCCTGGAAGGGCCCTCTTCAGACCCCCTGAAGCTACCAGACAAGGCATTGGCCCAAATATGACTCAACAATAAAGAATGACCCAACAGAGTCATTTTATTGGTTCTTATACATCAATATACTGCAAGGGTTTGATAAGTAAGACTTAAGGTGGTAGTAAACTCTTGCATAAAAAAAAAAAAAGAAACTTCTCCCTGCAAGCCAAGGTTATAATGTGCTAGTATGCATTGCATACTAGCACATTATGAGAGACTTACCTTAAAATGAAGCCCTCCATTGCGCACTGTTACCACTGACAGGACTTCCATCTTCACCAGGTCTTCTGGGTTCATTGGAAGAGCCGAGCTGTAAGACCTGATGAAGTCACGTGACTCGTGACGTAACACATAAAATGGAAGCGTGGTGATGTCATTCCTATACGGACGGCAGCCGCCATCTTGGTACTCCCAACCTCATACACCCTATACTGTTTGAATTACAGTGATTGATTTCTGGGTCTGCAGACCATATTACACTTGTGAGTAGTTTATTTTTTTATATGCACAATAATAAAGCCTTACTTACTACACTATGGAAGCTCTCTTCTGATCCCTTTTTTTATGAGGAATTTGGAGGTGGAGGAGAGTTCAAGTTATACACACCCTTAAGGATATTGTTATTACTGATTGCTGTGTATGCCATGGAGAGGAGTTTTTGTTTCATTTTGATCCATCCGGTTGAAGATCAGCCATCTGCATTTATGCTTTTTGATCCCTTGAGGGTCACAGTCGGAAGGTGAGCATGCACGCTAGGCGGTGAAGTATTGCCTGTTTGTTTGGTCACTGAATTTTACACGGCTTTGTGCGGAAGATTCACACACCCTTTGTCTTTTGGGACTGGTTTTTTTTTTTTTATGGGGACTGTTTGTTGTCTTTTGGGACTTATTTGCCGTCCATTTTTTCACCATCTTTTTCGCTACTGATTGCATTGTTTTTTCATATATATTATTCTATTGCATTCATTTATTGGCCACGTTTATGTCTGGTGTCACTTTTTTTATGTCACTTTTATTTCACCATTTGACAACATTTTTTCCTCATTTATCCACTTCACTTGATGTTTTCTAGTCACTATTTGGCCACGGTTTATTTCATTTTTTTGTCATTTCCTGATAGCATTTTTGGTTTTTGTGTCATCCTTTATGTCACTTTTCCACTGATATTTGTTGTTTTTTTTTCACTTTTTGATCACGTTATTACCACTTGCTACACATATTGTGGATTCACTTCTATGGTTATTATTGTGCACACTAGTTACATGGTTTATGTGGATTGTTCACTAATTTTTTGTTTTATGGGATTGTTCACTTATTTATCAGTAGTTTTATGTGTCATTGTATATTAAGGCCCACTCATTCTTAGGGCAAGTAGCGCAGCACCTTTGTTCCCACTTATTGTCTTTCACTGTTTGTAGTCAGGTCTTAACAGCCACTTTTCACATTTTTGAATTAGTCCATTTGGCAGGGCAGTGGGTTTTCTCCTTTGTTTTTCTCGAGCTGTGATGATGTCACTCCCTGTTCATGCACAAGGTCATGGCCGCAGCACAGAGCTCTGAAGAGACGGCATGAGTATGCCCGGATGCACCAGTGATGTAATCGGCTGTAGAAACAGTGAATATCTCCTAAACATTGCTCGATTAAAAGACATTCCTTGTACTTTCAGGTAGGCATTATTATAGGATGACCCGTAGGTAAAAGTGTCCAGGTGGTGTTTACTACCGCTTTAAGGATTTTGTTACACATCTGTGCATTGCTACTACGTGATCCTAGAAAAAAGGTGTTAACCGCAAAAGACGGTCCTGATAAAATGAACTTTTAATGCAAATAGGAAAATATCACCTTATTGCCTAACAGTCAGGCAATACAGCTTCGTTTTCAGAAAAGTGCCATCTGTTTATTTCCCATGTGTGTACAGTATGTGCTGATTTATCAAAATATTCTAAACTTATTCTTTGAGACCTGAATGGTAGAAGTGTATTATGACGAATATCTGTGTTTTTACAAACACTCTTGACCTTCGCTTCATCCCCTGCTGTTATGTCTGATTTCAATAGCTAGCTGTGTCAGATATGCCTCTATTATTCCTTCGCCAACTGTATAACCTGCTATCACCTGTCTCAGTTCTAACAGCTTGTTGTATGTACAGAATTCTTGGGACGTGGAAATTGATACTTAGAAAAAGCTTCACTCAGTGTTATAATACTTACCACTTTCTTTTTGTTAGCTGGGAAACTCCCGTTGGATTTAACAAAGACAGCACACAGCTTCACATCTTCTGGATGAGTGCATTTGTCCTAAAAAATAAAACATTTAATGCTGGCAATGAAACGATCAGCATCTAGTTGACTTTCAAAGTGGTAAAGTGGTTTCTTTGAGAACTTTTCCTGCAGCTAAATTATTATTACTGCCTTAAAGTTCAGGCAAGTTGGAGTCTACTGGGACATATGTATTTATATACACAATTCTCCTGTGGCTGTGCATACTGTATAATTCATGGGAATTCACGCCTTACTAGTGACACTACCCATATGGAAGAAAAATATATTTGAAGTATATAGTATTTTAAAAATATCCTTCCCAAATATATTGACATGCAGTATATTTGAAATACTACAATTTTGGCCATATTCAATATATTTCAAAATATAATTCAATGAATATATATATATATATATATATATATATAGATAGCTAGATAGATATGGATATATATATAGATATACATTTTTTTTGGTACTTATATACACGTGATTAGAGGATGTGTTTGATGTCAATTTTGATTTTAATTAGTGACTCACAAGTAACACTCAATTCTGATAGATATATATATTGCATGTTGAAATGTGTTTTCAATATCTATCTATCTATCTATCTATCTATCTATCTATCTATCTATCTAATCTATCTATCTATCTATCTATCTATCTATCTATCTATCTATCTATCTATCTATCTATCTATCTATCTATCTATCTATCTATCTATCTATCTATCTATCCATATCTATCTATCTATCTATCTATCTATCTATCTATCTATCTATCTATCTATTATCTATCTATCTATCCCTATCTATCTATCTATATACAGTACTATAATGTTGAAATTAGTTTTTATTACAAAATATATGAAGGATATTTTTAAAAATACATTTCAAACATACTGTATGTCTTTAAAAATACAAATCTACATTTTTGGAATGCATTTACAAATATATGTAAAAATATATGATAAATTGACTTTTTTATATGTTAAAAAAAAATCTGAAGAATATATTTAAAAAATAAATATTTTTAAAATATATTCTTCAGATGCTCCTTTTTTTTTTTTACATATAGGTAATTTTAACGTATATTTGTACATATATTTGTAAATGCATTCCAAAAATGTAGATTTGTATTTTTAAAGACATACAGTATATTTGAAACGTATTTTTTAAAAATATTTTTGTATATTTTGTAATAAAAATGCATTTCAACATGCAGTGTGTACATATATATATATATATATATATATATATATATATATATATATATGTATATATATTGAAAATGGCCAAAATTGTGATATTTCAATATATATGGCAATATATTTGGGAAGAATATTTTTAAAATATATTTCAAACATGTGGGTAGGTACATTGATCAACAAATATTAACCGATTTCCCCTCCCTATAGCAGTTATACTACTACAGGGTGGCAGGGGTGCACAAAATCATATATACAGTATATATACGTGATTTTGCATTTCCTGGTAGGGGGGTGCGCGCTATTTGTGGCCTCGGCTGTCAATCACTGGGTCCTGGCCAGTGATTACTCGCTGGCACCCAGTGATCGAGGAGCATTACTGACAGAGGGAGAGAACTGTATATAAACTATACAGTTTTCTCCCCTGACAGCTCCTGCACACTGCTTTGCATGGCTCTGCATAGCAGAGCCATACAAAGCAGTGTGCTTATAGTTGAAAGCACACACACACACAGCCCACAGTAAAAAAGCACACAGTTATCCGTTTGATCACCCCATATGTTAACAAAGCAAGTGTTGCTTATAGATGAAAGCACACACACACAACACACTGTAAAAAAGCACACAGGTTAAACCTTTTGATCAACCAGATGTTTAAACCCCTTCCTGACCAGTGTCATTAGTACAGTGTCAGTGCTTTTTATTAGCACTGACCACTGTATTGGTGGCACTGGGGATGTCAGTGACACCAAGACAGTTTCCCCGAGTGTCAGAATTCCCATCACAGTCCCGCAGTCCCGCTATAAGTCGCTGATCACCACCATTACTAATAAAAATAAAAATCGCCATTTGTAAACGCTATAACTTTCACGTAAACCAATTAATTTACACATATTGGGATTTGTTTTCAGCAAAGACATGTAGCAGAATACATTTTAGCCTAAATTTATGATGAAATTTGATTTTTAAATTTTTTTTACTTGACATGTTTAATAGAAAAAATTCAAATATATATTTTTTTTCTCAATTGTCAGACTTTTGAAATTAAAAAATAAAAAACGCACAGGCGATCAAATACCACCGAAAGAAAGTTCTATTTGTGGGGGAAAAAAAGAAGTACATTTCATTTAGGTGCAACGTTGCATGACCATGCAATTGTCATGTTCTGACAAAAACGTCCATTATCTCTTGTTCCTGAGCTTTAGGGAGGGGAGGAAGAGAGAATCACATAAATTGGAGCACCCTATGTTGTCCTTATTTGCTGCAAAAGTTATCCGTTTATGAGTGAAAGGAGTTTTAGCAACCATCAAAAGAACCCAAAAACAATATATATTATTTGTAATGGTTTAAGAAAACTAAATACCATCCAGATTGGGTTTTTCATCTACTTTATGTCCATGAATCAGAATGTTTATACAGACAACTAGAAGAAGAGGTCAGCAATAGAAGCTTTCATTATTGCCCAGTACAGGTTTCCTTTATTGTAAGGGGATTATTCAAAGCCTCCAGGATTTGTTTTCTGCCTTTAAGATTTTCCTAAAAACAAATATTGTCCTTTCCATGAATTAACGGAGACATACAGTTGCAAGAAAAAGTATGTGAACCCCTTTTGATTACGTGGAGTTTTGTATGAATTGGGCATAAAATGTGCTCTGAATGTCATCTAAGTCACAACAATAGAAGAACACAGTCTGCTGAACATAATACTACACAAACATTAGATGTTGCCATGGTTTAATTGCACATAACATGTAAACATTCACAGTGCAGGGAGGAAAAAGTATGTGAACCTTTGGACTTAATAACTGGTTGACCCTCCTTTGGCAGCAATAAACCTCAACCAAACGTTTCCTGTAGTTGCAGATCAGACCTGCACAACGATCTGGAGTCATTTTGGACCACTCCTCTTCACAAAACTGTTTCAGTGTAGCAATATTCTTGGGATGTCTGGTGTGAATCGCTCTCTTAAGGTCATGCCACAGCATTTCAATCGGGTTGAGGTCAGGACTCTGACTGGGCCACTCCAGAAGGCGTATTCTGTGCTGTTGCAGCCATTGTTTTGTTGAATTACTTGTATGCTTTGGGTCGTTGTTTTGTTGCATCACCCATCCTCTGCGGAGCTTCAGTTGCCGGACAGATGGTCATACGTTTTCCTGCAAAATGTCTTGATAAACTCTGGAATTCATTTTCCCATCAATGACAACAATGCGTCCAGGCCCTGAGGCAGCAAAGCAGCCCCAAACCATGACGCTCCCTCCGCCATGTTTTACAGTGGGGATGAGGTTTTGATGTTGGTGTGCTGTGCCTTTTTTTCTCCACACATAGTGTTGTGTGTTCTTCCCAAACAACTCAATCTTGGTTTCATCTGTCCACAGTATATTTTGCCAGTAGTGCTGTGGAACATCCAGGTGCTCTTTTGCAAACTTCAAACGTGCTGCAATATTCTTTTTGGACAGCAATGGCTTCCTCCGTGGTGTCCTCCCATGTACTCCATTCTTGTTTAATGTTTTCCTTATTGTAGATGTGTCAACAAAAATGTTAGGATGTGCCAGAGATTTCTGTAGGTCTTTAGCTGACACTCTGGGATTCTTCTTTACCTCATGCAGCATTCTGCGCTGTGCTCTTGCAGTCATTTTTACAGGACGAGCACGCCTAGGGAGAATAGCAACAGTGCTAAACTTTCTCCATTTGTAGACAGTCTGTCTTACCGTGGACACATGAACATCAAGGCTTTTGGAGATACTTTTGTAACCCTTTCCAGCTTCATGCAAGTCAACAATTCTTGATGGTAGGTCTTCTGAGAGCTCTTTTCTGCGAGGCATTGTTCACATCAGACAGTGCTTCTTGAAACCAGTAAACCCAAAACAGGTGTGTGTTTTTTAAGGGCAGGACAGCTGTCAGCAACACATCGAAAATCATCACACTGATTGGAGTCAAGGTTGGCTCACTCCTGGCTCCAATTAGCTCTGGGAGAAGTCATTAAGCTAGGGACTCACATACTTTTTCCTCCCTGCACTGTGAATGTTTACATGTTATGTGCAATTAAACCATGGCAACATCTAATGTTTGTGTAGCATTATGTGCAGCAGACTGTGTTCTTCTATTGCTGTGACGATGACGTTCAGAGCACATTTTATGCCCAATTCATGCAAAACTCCACGTAATCCCAAGGGGTTCACATACTTTTTCTTGCAACTATAGCAACAAATGCACATTTATTTTGTAGAATGAAAAGTGATCAGATGTTTTTAATGCTCTCAGGGTCATCCTGTCCTGCTGACACCCACATCCTTTCATTTCTTGTCCTCATGTCACTGGGACAGAAAGTGAGGGAAATCACCTGATGGCACAGATAAAATAAACAGTAACTAAAAGGAAACATTTGCAAAAGAAGTTTTACTTTTATTGAAGAAATTAGCTTACTCAGAATTTAGGAAATAGCTTTTTATTAAACAATATCCCAAAATCAAAGTCTCCAGAGTCTATATATAAAAGCTATTAAAATTAATGGAACATGGTCTTGTGTCCACATTTAACAAATCAATAACCACAGTGGGATTAGAGCTGGTCTCTTTGCTTTCCTGTTGTTAGCAATAAAAACTTGGCAGGAGTTCTGACTCTTACCTACTCTACTGAAAGCTTAAAACCCTCTCCATTATAAAGACTGCAGCTACTGCACCTCATCATGGAGTCTTACATTTACTGGTCCATTTCCCATATCAAATAAATTGAAACATCAAGGTGAATGCCTTGTTTCAACTCCTCAAGCTGGTAGGTACACTGAATAATGGAGAAGACCTCTCAAAAGGAGTTTCTGAGAAACATAAAAAGTCAACTGATGAAATAACCCCTGATTCATGCTCAGTTTTGGGTAAACCTACTGTGATGATAAGGAGGTCTGATGACCCTCCCAAACTGTGAGGAGTGGGGGAAGCTGAGTTGCACAAAAGATCATCTTAATTTCTCAAATATTTTAAAATTTTCAATAAATGCATTAGACTTCTATCTGATGTCTAAAGCTGGTCATAGACAGAGCAATTTTCTTTCCTGCAAAAATTGCTCAATTTCCCCATCAACAAAGTCAGTGTTCATGTGGGAATCCCTCACATGGAGCCATTGGGATCTTCCATTGAGAGGAGCCTTCCCGCCAGGAGGGTAGAATGTCACCAGCACATTGAGGATCACCAATATGGGTCCAAAAGTTTTAATAAAACGATCACATAATGTACTATGATCATTTATTAAAACTTTTGGACCCATACTGGTGATCCTCGGTGTGCTGGTGACATTCTTCCTTGCTGGTTCTGTTCGGTTCGGTCGCTGCAGAACCCACTTATACACACAGTCATTTTTAAAGCAGGAATGTGTGCATTTGGATTGTACACTTATGTTCCCCACCAGGAGAACACATTGATTGCTGCTAGCGGCAATACTAGAAATAATCTTATTTAAAATCTGACAGGCTTGTTGTACCCTAGTTGATCAATCATTCAGCCTGCCCATACATGGCTTGAATCTCGGCTGGTCCCTGCTCAACTGAATGAGATTTGAACCGTCTATGGGCAGCTTATGTTACAGAAAGGGATAACTTTAAAAGCCATAGACAAAATGAAACACCCCATGTTGGAACAAAGCTCAACTTGAAACATGAAGCAGGCCATCATAAATTTCATTAAATAATATCAGGATCTGCAAAGCCTAGTAGTGACCCTTGTTATAAATGGCTAAATGGTTATTGTAAATGTCAATTAGTAGAGGCTAGAAAGTCAGAGACGTTTAATATAGCCTTTTGCAAATAGTGTGGAGGAATATACATATGTCAGACCAGGGTCATTTACTTATATTAACATACAGTTAAGCTGCCCAGATTTACATTTTATGCATTTCCAGAAATAGGGATATGATTGTGCTACAATAATACCAAGTGTTCACACAAAGTATAACAGAATAACAACAAGTTCAGTGATAAACATGCTATAATGTAGAGAAGGTCAGGTTAAATCTTCTAGCAAATATAGACATCAGATTTGAGTCATGTGCGGTGTTTATCAAATCATAATTTCATTTCATTCAGTAATATTGGTTATCAGACTGTAATACTATACCATCTGAAATAACTGATATAGATCAAATACTTGGCAATAAGGGAGTGTCAGCTGAAGAATCATAACACTTTTCAGCACTCATACATCACACCCTTCAGATCTTTTGTTTGGATGGGGATTAGCTTAGTGACAGCTTCTGGAGGTCAATAAAAACTGTTGCTTCTGCTGTTTTTCATCAGGCGCTTGTTTTCCAGGCTGGGAATTATACATGGGGCTAAATACTCCACCTTATAAAAAGAATCAACTGGTGGCATTAGCCCTAGAGCCTACAAGCGATAGAGCTGTAGAATAAGAGCCTAAATGCTTTAGATCCAAAATGGCTGCTCATTGGGGTTGGAAATACCAACTGCAACATGATACATTGAAGTTGATTTATAGGCACATAAGCTGTTCACTTCCCACATGGAAGAGAGATACATTTCCAATATATTTAGAAAAAAAAAATTATATATGTGACATATATTTACAATATATTGGCCTACGCTAATATATTTTAACACGTATTCTAAAAAAATGTAAATTTAAATATAGTTTCTAAAGGCATATATTTAAAAATTTATATTTTTTAAATATATTTTTCAGATTATTTTTTTTACATATAAAAAAGTCATTTTAACATAGATTTTTACATGTATTTGTAAAAGCATTCCAAAAATGTAGAATAAATGTATTTTCAAAGACATATATCTGAAAATGTATTTTTAAATATATGTTTCATATATTTTTTAATATATAAAACACTCTTTTCAACATACAGTATATATATATATATATATATATATATATATATATATATATATATACTTAAATATATTTTTGAAATATATTGAATACAGCCAAAATTGTAGTATTTTAAATATATGTCAATATATTTGGGAAGAATATTAAAAGTGTATTTAAAAATATATTTTTATTCCACGTGAGTTTACAAGGGAAGTTACACTTTGCAAGAAGGAATTTTTCCCCAGAGATTTCCCTTGCACACTATTTGATATTCTATGCAAAGTGAGACTTCACCACATTCACTAAGTTTTGGTGCAAATTCTCCTACAAGTCACAACTTCCCCTGCAACGTGAACAGCCTATTTACTTTTAGCAAATCAAACCCATTATCTTATAGCAAGATCAATGTGGCAAGGTATGGAATTGCTTACACTAAATTATAGCTATTTTATTACCATTTATTACGAGTCATTTACCTTGTTGCCATCCGCCTCCACTCCACGGCTGTTGCGCTTGGTGTTTACCCTCTTCCTTCGCTTTCGCAGAACTATATAAATCTGGACATACACCAGGAGTGTGACAATAAAGGGGACATAGAAGGATACAACAGAGGAGTAGATGACAAATGCAGGGTTTTCTATGAGGCACTCATTGGATGCTGTAAAAATAAGATCAAATAAGTGCAAATCCTCTTCACATTTTATATAAAAATATATATATAAATTCTAAGTACTGAAATCAAAGCAGTGTTGTGCATGCTGGAAAAAAAAGAACCCTTGGTAAAAGAAATTCAGAACTGCTTTTATGTGAGCTAAATATGATCACTTAGCTGGGTTGATTTACTGAAGAATTAGATGTTGTTCAATTAACGAAGTTAATGTTTGTAAATAATTTGAAGCTATGCTCACTTTAATTATCCAATCACTTGTGATAGAAATGGAAAAGACTGGATATTTTTTTTCTACCACGACTGGATATTTCAAAGTGAACCTAGCAGAATTTTTCTTGCACATTACTTGATGGCTAAAGTAAAAAAACAAAAAAAAAAAACTAAAACTTATTTACTAAACTCAGTAAACATTTTCTTTGCTAAGTGAACAATCTCCACTCCTGGAGTATTTTAATCTTATAGGGTTTATGTTTTCTCTGCCCCTTATGAATTGTGAATAGAGTTTTTCTAACCACAGCACACTACCGCACATTGGTGTCCGTTTATGAACCAGCAGTAATAGATTGCTGCTCAGTTCTCTGGAATTCTCGGAGAACACAGCTCTCCAGTGAATGCCATTTATGAAGCATATGTAGATCAGTTCTCCAAACGAAAGGAGAACGGTCTACAAACGCCGGGAAACGGCTGATTTTACTATAATCTCGCGAGATTACAGTAAAAGATCAGTTTACTAAGCAGAGGTAAATTATCTCTGCTTAGTTTGCGGTCCCTCCGATTCTCCAGCTCTGGGCTGGAGAATCTGGAGGGAGAACACAGATCTCCAGTGAAGAGCTGAACAGTTCTCCTGGGTGTCATAAACTGTGAATGACCAGAGAATAGCTGTGATCCTCTGAATCGTAGTTATTCTGTGTGTCATAAACGGACACCATTGTGCATTGTGGCATGCTAAAATGCAGGTGCATTATCTTTTTGTGTTGGGGTGCCATTGAAAATGAATGGCACTGCAATGCACTAACAATTGTTACTCGTGTTTCCACACATTGTCGTAATATGGTAACTCAAGAGTAAGTGTAAGATGGGTTTTCAAACTTTTTATGTTCTAAACAAAGAAGATAATCATATCAGAATACCCAGCATCAGCCAACCTAAATTCTTGAAGCGCTTGTAAATATCCAAAAAAGCTTACTGAATGGCAGACGAAAATCTCTAAGATAATCATTGTCCGTTCAGGCTTTGCCTGTCAATAACACCAAACTGATTCCAGTTGTTTTCTTTAGACTTACTAATTAGACCACTGTATCAATAAAAATAGAAGCTAGCAATAAAAGAAAACAGGCCTAAACTTATAAAATGTACCTCATTCTGGACAAATCATACACAAGACTTGGAGCACAGTACATGATCTCTATTGCAGGAATTTCATGGTCTCTAATGAGGGTTCAGACATCTATACAAGGAGAGTTATTGATTGATCTTGACTTTGGTTAGGTGGCCAGAAACCAGAGACCTGTATTCCAGCAAATGGTAGGCTTTACTGACAATGATTATTTATTTTTTATTATTACTACTGATAAACTATTACTTATAAATTATTACTGATAATTCATTGTTTTGGTTTTTATTGTATTCATTTTTTTTAGTTCCAGGCTAAAAACAGAAACGACAGTTTATAAAAATGGTCACTGCCCCAGTCTATAACTGGCCTTCACACAGCACATGGACGAGCGACGCATGTCAAATAACAAAACAGAAAAAGTCCCAGCTCTAACTTGCCAGCCAGCCTGCAAACAAACCGAATTTACCTGTCTAGCAGTATGTGTTAAAAACGGGTTTAGTTATTACACATTTGCAAATACATGCGTAAGCTACAGAGCGCTCCTGTACGTTAAGGAGGGGTGGGCTCCCTCAGGTCCATCTGCCCTTGGTCTATCCATTAAATACATGTGCCTCTATTATGGGGGCTGTAAATATTGTAGAGTTAGGAACTACAGAATACTGGTGACAAGGATCTGTAGCTTACGCATGTATTTGCATATGTGTGCTAACTAAACCCCTGTTTTTAATGCATACTGCTAGACAGGTAAATTTGGTTTGTTTGTAGGCTGAGTGGCAAGTTAGGGCTGGGAATGTTTCTGTTTTGTTGTTTTAAAAACAGAAACTACCTTTAATAACAATAAAACAGGCTTTGTATCCATTCAAATTCATTGGACAGTAATAAGCTATTAATAGTGAACAATTAAATAAATAGAATCTTGCACGCTTTTATGAATCAAAAACAAACTTCCTCATAGTGACCGTAAAAAATACTGTAGCATAAACAGTTCTGTAGCTGCTATTGCACACAACCCCTATCTTATATAAGGCAAAATCAATATAGTGAAACCAGTGCAGTGCTACAACAAAACCCAACCTAAATCCAAATGTGTTAGAGAAAATTAAATACATTTAAATAAAAAGTCCAAACATATCTTTTTTATGGTGCTCCCTTCCTCCTGTGATCACCAAGTGCTTCAAACACAAGAGTGCATAATTCAACCACTGGATGTCCGCTCACCTCCAGCAGTGTGACCTCACATAATATTTTGCTTGGTCTAACTGCACTTTTGGTCCCACAATGGACTCTGAAGATCAACTTGATGGATATCAGCTGTTTACACCTTGTTTAGAATACAACTCTCACCACCAATTCACCTCCAGATTGAGGAGCTATAATAGAGGTGTTATACACTTGGGTGTCCGTTTATGAACCAGCGGTAATAGATCGCTGCTCAGTTCTCCGGCATTCTCGGAGAACACAGTTCTCCTGTGAATGCAGTTTATGAAGCAGTTCTCCAAACGAAGGGAGAACGATCTCCAAACGCTGGAGAACGGTCTACAAACTCTGGAAAACGGCTGATTTTACTATAATCTCGCGAGATTACAGTAAAAGATCAGTTTACTAAGCAGAGGTACATTATCTCTGCTTAGTTTTCGGTCCCTCTGATTCTCCAGCTCTGGGCCGGAGAATCTGGAGGGAGAACACAGATCTCCAGAGAAGGGCTGAACATATTCTCCTGGGTGTTATAAACTGTGAATGACCAGAGAATAGCTGTGATCCTCTGAATCTCAGCTATTCTGTGTGTCATAAACGGACACCTTGGTGCGGTCAGGCACCTTATACATGTGGGTGAGCATTTGGATATATTTTTGGGCAATAAATTGTTTTAAAGTTTTACGCACTATGTGAAGTTTTTTATTTATGAGGTCAATTGGTGGTGAGAGTTGTATTCTAAACGAGGTGTTAACGGCTGATATCCATCAAGTTGATCTTCACCCCCTGTTCATATATATGTGGCCGTGCGCGCCATGTTTTGCACTGGCACGAGAGCCCATACATTTGAATGGACTCCAGTGCCCATGACACGCAGGGAGTACGGTTGCGTTTTCCAGTGCGGACGACATGCCATTTGAACTAATGGAACCCGCCCACGGGTCCACATTTCTCTGTGCGGTGGTGCGGCTGCACGATTTTCGTGTGGATCCGCAGCGGCACCACCCGCACAGATGTGAACCTAGGGTGAGAGTCCATTGTGGGACCAAAAGTGTAGTTAGACCAAACATAATATTATGTGAGGTCACACTGCTGGAGGTGAGCGGACATCCGGGGGTTACATTATGCAGTCTTGTGTTTGAAGCACTTGGTAATCACAGGAGGAAGGGAGCACCATAAAGAAGATATCTTTGGACTTTTTATTTCAATTTATTTAATTTTCCTTAACACATGTGGATCTAGGCTGGGTTTGGTTGTAGCGCTGCACTGGTTTCACTATATTAAGCTATTATTAGTGTTGCAATGTGCAATGACTTGCCTACTGGACAGTAACCCAACAGAACAACAAGATTTCAGCTTATTGTATTTATCTGATGGAATGAGACAATGTTAGATTATCTATGACGTATTCATGTACTATACATACAGTTAGGCTTCTTTCACATGGGGCGGATTTCGTTAAGATTAGCAGGGGATCTGTCCACTGTTCCAATTCTGAACTGAGCAGAGTGGGCAGATGACCAGTCTGTGCCTGCTGAGTTTATGCAGAGAGGACATGGACAGAACCTTCTCTGCTTTTTGAGCAGCTGGGTGTAAATGGACTCCGCTGTCCGTTTACACCCAAACGCCTTCCAATCCGATCCAAAAACAGAGAGGGACGGATCCCCTTCTGTTTTCTTTTTTAGCGTATTGGATTGGTTTGGAGGTAGGTGGGTATAAATGGACAAGTGTCCGTTTACACCCACCTGTCCATAGGGGTGAATGGAGTGTCTGATCAGGTCCGCTTGATAAAACTGACCCTTCTTGTGAAAGAGGCTCTACTCTCATGACTATAGTAAATCTGAACTCTAGGTAAGATTATTTTTGCATAGTTTTATTATTAATATAGCTTGGGCCAATGAATGCACAATGTCCTCTGATTGGATGGGAGAGGCAGTATGAACGGTTGATGTTCGAGTCAAACTTATGGTAGTATGAAGAGGCTGGGCAGTATGAAGAGGCTGGGTATCTAAAGAGACTGGTAATAAATATTAAATGGCAGTATGAAGAGGCTGGGCAGTATGAAGAGGCTGGGTATCTAAAGAGACTGGTATTAAATTTGTGGGGGACCTCATGCCATTTTTTTTTACATCAGTCCCTCCTAACATTCATACTAGACCTGAAGAAGCCTGAAGAGAATTATGGGATAAACCCCCTCGCTACTTTTTTTTTTTTAACTATCCTGACCTTTTAGCTTACCTTAAAGTTATAAGTTAATGGAACCAGTGACATCACTGGTTGTGGTCCACCAGTATCCTTAACAGACATTGACAGCTGGAAGCTGTCATGCATGATAGCAGTAGTAATATTGCTTTTTAATACATGATGTGCACCTCCCTCCAAACATGTAAATGTTCAAGCATTTGTCCAAGTGCTTGAACAGCCAAAGTTCAGTCCTAACTGGTTTATGGATCAAACC